TAAAATTACATTTAAAAAAAATATATAAACACAATCAATGGTAATTGTTTTTTAAAGTTGGGAAAAGCAGAAAAGTATAAAAAAGAACAGAGAAATACGCAGTAATGCTAGGGCTTCCCTGGTGGCGCAGTGGTTGAGAGTCCACCTGCCAATGCAGGGGCCACGGGTTCGTGCCCCGGTCCGGGAAGATCCCACGTGCCGCGGAGCGGCTGGGCCCGTGAGCCATGGCCGCTGAGCCTGCGCGTCCGGAGCCTGTGCTCCGCAACGGGAGAGGCCACAACAGTGAGAGGCCCGCGTACCGCAAAAAAAAAACAAAAAAAACCAGTAATGCTACAATTCCGAGAATTCAGAGAATATAGGAATTTACATTTTTTAAAAGATATTTCTATTCAACATTTTTCACTGATACAGATACTCATTCATTCACACAGACAACTGGGCTCCTTCTGGGTGCATTGGGAAGAGGAGAAGAAGATCACAAATGGTGCGTTTCCAGTACTTAGCAAAGGCACAGCGGAATCTAATAGATAGGTTTTAAGATACATAGGTAGTGTTGGTTGGTTTTTAGTGTTTAGGAGATTGTGGTTATTTCATCCTGTGAAAAGTTTAAGTTCCATGAAAATCTGAGCTATGCGTGAATATATTATTATTTAAAATGACTTTTTGAGGTAGGTGTGTTATCTTATCCTTGCTTTACAAAGGAATAAGTTGATAAAATATATTCAACGCGTTAATGGGTAACAGATAACACACCCAGTTAGATCCAGACACCATTTTGCAAAGGATTTCACTTACCTAAATGACTCTGGCTTCCAGAATGGTAACTAGGCTCTGGTACTCCTTCTTAACACAGTGGTTTAACTTCAGAGAGCTAAACAGAAGCGCTAAACAGGTTTAATTAAAATTGATTGAAGCTTTGTAAGATTTTCTTTTTTGCTTTTCTTTGATTTTCTTTGTTAAGAGTGGACTCTATTGACTATATGGCCTTTGCTTGTGTTGGCCACCTTGATACGCATACCTGTTTGGATGCGGTCTGTATTGAGCAACCTTTTCCTTCATTAATAGGGGGAGAAGAATCTGGAAGTGTAAGAAGAAAATCAAGTAGGTTGGAAGCTAGCTGGAGGACCAGCTAGAGAGGGAAAACCCCTGACTACATGATGGACAATAAAAAAAAAAAAAAACATGGCAGAAGGAAATGTCTAAATTTTTAAGTTTTTTTGTTTTGTTTGAGTTTGTACATTCATTAATGCTTTTATGAGAATACATTCCTCTGAAGGGACTAAAAAAAAATGTTGAGTTTCTGGTCTGGGTCAAAGCAGTTGATGGTAAAGATAATATATGTGGATGAACACCCAGGATGGAGAGAAAACTTCCCAGGCCCTGGTATTGTGCATATGAGAAGAATGGAGGAGCAGAGACGGGAGTTGATAAATTCCCTCTCCCCAGATTTCTAGGAGGTCCCAGCTGCAATCTGAGTTCTAGATAGATACAAAAATTGCAATTAATATTCATAAATAGTTTATGGTGCTGATGTGAGCTACCACCAGTACATCCTTAGGGCATTATGACTGCATGTTGTGCCTCCCAGACACCTTGGTGACATCAGTGTTTCCTAGGGAACCTTTCCTAAGCCTATACATCTTTTTATGCTTCCATGATGTTGTTTCTATTGCCTGAAATGCCACTTTCCCTTTTCCCACCCTAACCTCTCACCACTCTCTATTGAAATGATACCTATTCTTGATTTATCAATCTGGACTGTAATGATTTGTTTGCTTGTCTGACTCCCTTAGTTTATAATCCTCTGGAATGTAGGAACTGTGCCTAGTACAGTGGTTAATATATAATAAGAACTTAATAATTTATTGATTCAGTGACTGAATATGAATAAACAAATAAATAAATGAATGAGAGCAAAACTTAAGTCCCACCTCTTTTATGAATTTTCCTATTCTTTATCTCTACTAATATCCAACTTACCTGAGGAACATTTTTTCTAATATACACTAATAATATTCCATTCCTCTTACTACATTTATTGGGTACTTATTATGTATAATAAGTAAGTACATATAATAAGTATAATAAGACACTATGAGATTGCATTTAATCCTTACAACAACCCCATGATGTGGGTACTATTATTGTCTTTACTGGTAAGGAAATAGAGTCTCAGGGAAGGTAGGTGACTCAGCCAAGGTCATGCAGCTGATAAGGGACGGAACCGGGATTTGTGCCCAGACAGTTGGACTCCAGAGCCCACACTTTTCCCACTCACCTCACAAGTTCTCCTGGTCCTTCAGGGCTTGGCTTCCTCAGGAAACTTTGCTGCCTGCACTTGTGTCTCCATTGTCTATTTTCTCATCTCTCCCTAGCAGACATCTCTCCCTAGCCTCCTGTGAGGCAGGAATCATGTCTCTTTTCTTCCCATTTTATGTGATCACCATCTTGTGTAGTTATTGGAAAAGGGATTCCTATTCATACCAGGCAGATGAAGAAAGGATGGGCCTGGGGAATTGTCTAGCATTACACAGCTACTTTCTGTCAGAGCCAAGGGTAGGACCTAGGTTTTCAACTCTCATCCCAGGCTTCTTCTCTGGAAGAAAATGCCTTAGCAAAGCCCTTTGTAAACAATTTGGGGCAGATGATAGCATTCACGGAATTCTAGGATTGCAAGAAAACAAAATGATTACCTAGATAAATGTCCTCCTAGAGTGGACAGGTAGTTCATCCAAGGTTGTGGACCAGTAAGTAGAAAGATTGGAGTAATGAGAGCACAGAGAGAGAACTTGCAGTCAAAAGATCTGGGATTTAGCCCCAGTCTGGCACCCAGTTCTTACTGACTGACATGATAGAAAGTATAAATTATTCAGGTTTGAACCAAGTTGATAATGTCTTTACTGTTATTGTCCTTGGCCTATATGCAAAAACAGCTTCTCTCATAGTTTTTCTCTTCATTTATTCTACTTGGCACAGACACTTATTGGATTGCTTTATTATTTTTTTCCCTCAACTTGTGCTGTCTGGCAGTCTCCTGGACTGTTTCTCCCAGCTGCATCTCTCCAACCTCAGCCCTGGTGAGGTGCAACACCCTCTACACACCTTCGGTTTTCATCATAGCTGCTAAGTCAGCCCGTCTGTGTTGCTTGCCTCCCTTCCAGCTGTGTACCACACACCCAACTAAGTCCATTTCCTGGCTGCCATCCTGACCCAGAGCTGCAATTGCTAAAATATTAATGATGCCCATTGTGAAACAACACTGTGAAGCTTGCTGTAAAGTAAAATTGCCAGCGAGGTGGAAACAATGAAATGGAAGAAATAAAGCAAAACCATAATATGAAAAAGGGCCTCAGCATTAAGGCAAAGGAGGACATCCTTCCTTAGCTCTGCCTTCCTTTTCCTAATACCAGGATCTCACTGGGGGAAATGCAGCATCACTGGCTGAGATTCACTATCTTGGCCACCTAGATGGCTTGCATAACAAGGTGGGTGACCCCTGTGGTTTTGCTTGGCTGCCTGCTCTCCTGGGTCCCCTGAGAGAGAAGAGAAGGGAAGGGCAGCATAGATCTGAAAAGAAAAGGCCAACTGTATGGGTAAAGGAAATAGGGGCTCCCTGTGGTTAAAAAGCATTGGTGTGAGGAGGTTTGTAGGATGTTGAGGACAAATCAGGCTGGATTTAAAGGCAAAGAAATGTGATTCCACCCTTTGTCCAATCCTTAATGGAAGCACTTAGCACTTTATGTTTTATGTATTGGACTTCTTAGCCATATTCTGTCATTATCGTTATTGTATTCCCGGTCCCATGCATGGTACTTGGCACAAATCACAATGCTAAGCTATATTTTCTGAATGGATGGACGAATAATCAGAAAGGGGAGGTGAAGAGAGAGAAAACTGACCCTTAACATTTGCAGCATAGTAAATGTTAATATTTTTATTCCTTTTATGACGAAGAGAGTGCAAAGGGCTGGGGACGGAGACATCACAGGAGGAGGAAAGATAATGCCACCTCTGCAAAAGACACTCCTAAACTACACATAGAAGAGAAGTAGACCCCCCAGGACAGGCTCTCCCATCCAGAATATTGAGACCAATCCAAGTGAGTTTTCCAGTAGCTCTCACAGCTACAGGGCATATGCCAGCCTTTCCAGGTGCCAGTGAGTCAAACCCCTTTTGCAGTTTCCCAAAGCAACCTGACCACACTCCCTTTCCTTCCAAGTTCCTCATTTGAGTTCCATTCTCTGACTTCTCTCTTCTTTCTCGTTTTTGTCTTACTCGAGACTAATTCCCACAGGTTCCTCTGGTTCCTATGCTCATTTTCATTACTGGGTATGCTAGTAGTCTTCCAATTTAGGAAATTCTTCTAATCTTCAGTCTTTCAGCCCCCAAACTCTTCCACCTCCCCATTTCACCTCACAGTCTCCTCCCTCCTGGAGCACAGAGCTCTGCAGGTGAAATTCTAGGCAACCATGGCTCATGTGGTGGGGGGAGAGTGGAAGCATGTCCCCTGAAGGCAGAAGGTCTGTTCTAGGTGAGGACCCTAGGTTTCCTTCACACAGTCATAGCTGCAGACCTTCCTTCCCCTTCCTCAGTTTCTGCCCCTTCACTCCACTACTGAACCTGTTCACAGATGCTGCTCAGCAACAGGCAGCTTATTGGGTAGTACAAGCAGCAGCAAGGCTGTGACAGGTGCTCCAGCAGCCAGGCTTTTTTTCAGGCTGTGAGCATGCACACAGAATATATGGTGTGCAACAGAGCCTTTGTCACTCATATTAAATGGTTGCTATGGAACATGTTGCAAGTGAGAAACTGTGGATTTTATTATAAGTGTGATACTAGTCAGAAGGCCCAGAAAACTGGCATAGCAACTATCAACCAGCTCAGGGAGAAGAAAAGAGAGCAGTAGAAACCATTTAGGAGTCCCAACTGATGTTAACATAAGTGGACATCCTCAGGTCTCCTGACCCCTTTCCCTTCACCCAGATTGGTAGGTTGCAAATCTAAACATTTGCAAATTCACAGTTGTAGTCAGTCATCCGGCACATTATGAACTTCCACTGGCGATCCCTGTGGGGAGAGAGTCAGAGAGCTAACGTCAGTGAGAAAAGACACCTTAGGAAAAATCACTGTGAAGAGAAAAGCAGTGAAAAACCTTTGGAGAATTTAGGGCCAACTAATTTCACTTTCCTCTCAGAATATACATCTATGAAGTCTCTAGAAAACCTACAAGTAATCATCTATGAGGTCAGGAGTCCTGGACACCACCTCACCTAGTTCAAGTTGCATCTAGGAGGGGACTAACTAGGTCACTGGCATGTTGAAGTCCTGTTTATCACCAGTGATCAGTTCACCACTGCTTTGTCTCAAAGGGACCTCTTGGACATATAGGTTAACAACTTGTAATAAAAGCATTTATTCAACATTGTCTCCATTTCATGGTAAAGAATCTTCTCTTACCTAGGCCATCCATCTGCTCATTCTTTCTTTTCCTAAATACCTATCATGTGCTAGGCTCCATGCCATACCCTGTGTGTTCCCCTTCAGAAGACACTATCATAGGGAAATGAAGGGAGGGGAAACAACTCTAAAACCCATAAAGTGAAAAAGAAAATGCCTGCCATTCTTGTATAACAAATTGAATTGAGTATTTGTTTAAATGGTCAGGCATGGGTATGAGAGGACATAGAATTGCTCAATTTTGAAAAAAACATGGTGTGGATACATTTCAAGGAATGTTCTTTGCTAAGGGCTAGCCTAAGTTCTTTGTTCACCCATTTAACAAAAATTTTTTGAGATCCTACTCTGCATAGCACTTTTCTGGTCTGATTTTGTTTAACAGTGATAACGGTGATGGTATTGACAATTGTAACTACTATTTGCTGAGTCCTCCAATATATCCCGCATTGCACTAGATGCTTTACATAGTTTTTCATTTAATCCTCATGATAAGTCATTGCTAAGGTGGAGAAGCAGACTCAGAGAAATAAGTGACCTTCATTAACATAATTAGGTGACAATTTCAGGTTCCAAGTTTGTTGAACTCAAATCTTCCTCTTTATCTTATATCAGAATGCCTCCATAACTTGATACCCATAACCCCATCGAGGACATGGGCTGTCACATCCTTTGCAAAGTCTTGATGAAGAGCAAAAAGAAAGAGTCATTCCATATACGATCACACAAATGCTTCCCAAGCACAGTGAGGTCATTCAACCTTAGAATATCCTTCCTCCTTTTCAATCTGAAAGGCCTCTTCCCAGATCAATTTCTCTTAAACACCAAGTGCTAAGATCTTCATCCATCTGGAAGGTGGGACTGACTACTCTCAGTTCTGTGAGATAACAGCAGCAATGGTACATGCTGCTCAAACAGCCTAAGGCAGGCTTTATAATTTGAGTCTGCTGCTCCAGCTTATTTGTTTAGAGTTATTGGGCATAGGGTCCTCCAGTACAGATCTTTAAGAGCCTGGATAACCAACTATTTATTAGTATTTATTCCTGCAGTTGTCAACAGAGGACGTGGCTTGTTTTAGATGAAGGTTAGAAAATTGGTAGCATGCATATTTATCAAATGAATTTTATTACTGTAGACAAGTCTTATTTATCTCTGTGCCAACAGACACAGGTAAATAAGATCTTCAGCCAGGCACTCACACTACTCTTTTATGAGGCTTTTAATTGATGCTAAGCAAACTGTAGACTACTTGGTTGTAAAAGAATCAAGGTACTCAAATCAGGCTTAGTCGCTGATTTCTTTCCTGGACAGTGGTGCTCAAGCAGGGGCAGTTTTGCTCCCCAGGGTTCGTTGCTGTTGTTGCCACAACTCTGGGTGGGGGTTGCTACTGCCAGCTAGTGTGTAGGGGCCAGGATGCTGCTGAACTTCTAGACTGCACAGGAAAGGCTCCTGCAACAAAGAAGTATCTGGCCCCAGTTGTCAGTAGTGCCCCAGATGAGCAGCTCCATTCCAGGAGGAAACCACTATGATTTGCATGCAGAGGAAAAGCTCCTGCCCAGTGAGTCCTGTGCACTGACAATATTTCTCCAAGGTAGTGGCCTCAGCCTCTTTTAGCAGAGTGGAAGAAATCCAAATTGTGGACCTTTAAGCCACTGATTGTTAGTGACAGCAGCAATATTGCATGGGTATATTCATTTTAAACAAATGCATGACATAGTATCTCAGTTTTCCAAGATTTTGAGTTAAACCACATAACTGAAAATTTCCAAGCCAAGCAGTTGGACATTTTAACTGCCAAAATGTATTTATTTGTTGGAAATTTTGGATGGCATGCTTTCTTTACTGTATTCCTTCCTGCCTTCTTAAGGAGGAAATGCAGAACTAATTTTCATGATGACTTGGAGACATCATTAGGAATATTGAGCACTCTGCTATAATGTTATCCAGTGCTGCCTGTTGGGGATACACACACTCCTGTTAAATGTCACCGGGCTTCCATAGTCTTTGAGTTCTTAGGTCTTTCCTATTCTTTCTTTCTTTTTCTTAAGTATGTTTTTGTGTGTCTCACATCATTCAGCTATTTCTTCTCACTGGTGAAGTGAGTCTCATTCTAAGTAGTATCTTCCCTCTTTATTTTTTAATTTGCCCCCTCTAGAAAATAGTAACTAAGCTAGATAAAAACGTATCTAAAATAAAAATAATTAATGTGTGAGAACTAAGAAGTTCTCCTATGAGTAAATGTAAGGGTTTTTGTTCATGGAGCCGGCAACACGTATTGTGTCTTTTCAGAGCTACGTCATAGTTTTTTTTTTCTGTTTTATTTTTTAAATTAAGGATTGTATTAAATAAGTTACTTCAGTTAGGTGTGATATCATTGCACTCAAAAGCATAAATATACACAAAAGATAAGTCACACTCAAATTTGTCAATCTATTATTTAATGAGTTAATGAGTTAGGTTTTGTCCTATTTGAAAAATATTTATTGCTAACTTTTCAGGAATTCATTTGCTGTGTAAAGTGGTGATCACCTGACTAAAAGTAGACAGATCAAACTTTTAACACCTGAATTTATTCATATCTCTTTATTAGTAGGGAGAAGAATTTTTATTTTCTTCTTCTTGTTTTGTTTTGATGTATTCAGTATTTGTGATAAGATTGGGAGCTGATTGTGAGAGCAAACAGATTTAAAAACTTAGTGTCGTTTTCTTTTCCGTTATTTAAATTCTCCTTTTTTATTTCTAAATAAGGTTGGTAAGTTTTGTGTGTTTCTCCCCTCCAGCCCCCTCTCCTTCTTTTCTCTCTCCCTTCCCACAACCCAAAGTGGGGACCATATGGAGAAATGGCATTGGAGAGGGTTCATTTTGACAGTGGGTACTCTTTCAGTCATTTTTGTGCTCTCTTCCTAATGTTTGGTAAGGAAAAATGCTCTTTGAAATTGAATACAGGGAAGAGCTTAGAACATCATGGAATACCAAGTTGGGAATTTCCTGCTCTGAGCAAGCTGGAACACAACCTCATCTCCAAGGGTGAGCTGCTCCATGAAATGGGTTCAATTCCCATTGCTTTCCACTGTCCCATCAATTTCTCAGTTAATCTTAGACCAAGTAGGAAACTCAAATAGGGAAAACCCCAGATCCAGGTTCCTGCAGGCATGATCCTTGTGTGGAGCTGATTCCTGACCTCGCTAACCCTAGCCCATGGTGAAGGCTCACCTTTCCACTGGAGAGAAAGTGGTTGTTGCTCCTCGTATATAGTAATCATAATTGTAGGAAATCATGTCCATTTCCTCACCATAGTGGCCTGGATATTCTGTTGTCAGCCTATGTGGGAAGAACAAAAGGTTAGACGGAAAAGATAAAACTATTATTGCTGGGGGCAAACAGGAGCAAACAAGAGACATACTATAAAGGAGAGATGGAGTTTGAACATTATGGGAGACACAAACCAGAGTTGGATGGCCTCCACCAAGCTATTCCAGGCTGCAAAATGATGGACAGCTTCCTTGCACTTCTCATTCCTTCTTGCCGTTAAACTATACACTAAAAAAGATGTAGATAACTCCTCAGGCCTCGAGGAAATATTGATTAATATCAATATTAATCCATTCCATTCAAGTCCACTAGAACCATGTTTTCAAACTGTGGATTGTGACTTAGTAGCAGATCATGAAATCAATTTAATTGGTTAGTACCAGATGAACTTTAAAAAAAGAAATAGAATAGAAAATATCGGAGACCGCATTGTATACACTAAGGATAAGTTCTTGGGTGTGTGTGTAAAAACTTTGTTTCAAGTATATATGCATGTTTGTATTTATATGATGTTTGTATTGTGTAATAGTTTAATATGCATTTTTTATTGTGAGTCATGATCAAAAAGGTATTTGAAAAATATTAAAGTAAAAGGTAAGCTGTACAAGGGTAGTCTTTACCTAGTCTGCCATTGTTTCTTTGGCACCTAAAACAGTTCCTGGTACCTAGTAAGTATTTGCTGAATAAATAAATAGCCTTGGGAGAGTCATTTAATCTCAGTTTCCTGGTCTATAGAAGAATGAAAGCTACCTTATAGGTTTGTCATTGGCACTAATACAAATATGTGTGACACGTGGTAGGAGTTGAATTATTAGGAGAAATTTTGTTTCTTCTTCCTCCTTCTCCTTTCCTTCTTTCTCCAAAATTACGTCAATCCTGGGCCTCTCTCTGAAGAGGTTCATTGTGGTCCACCCTGGAATAAATCTAGAATTTCCTGGTTCTTATAAGCCTAAACCACTGGGGCTCTTCAGGATCAAAATAGTCCTTTCAGTATGATACAGGTTCCCCAAAGTCTTCATCTTCACCCCCAAGGCTGCTTGGGAAACAAATAGTGAGTGTTAGTAATTTAATGTGATTCGGGGTCACAGGTCATTGTGTGTTGATGATAGAAAGATATCTCCCTGTGTCGTCATAATACTGCGAGATTGTCATGAAATCTTAAAAAGATTGACTTATAAACTGGAAGGTCTCCCAAGAGAATCTCAGTGCTTAGATGCAACAAGATCAATGGTTAGCTCAAGGTAACCTGGGTTAGCCAGAGCCCTAAAAATTCACTGTCTTTGTTCATAACCATTCCTTTTCCCACGTTATGCAGTTGTCCTTGTTCTCTGATTTTTCTCTTCTTAAGACATAATTATGCTCTGTCAGGATGCCAGACCCAACACGTTCATGAAAGGAAATAAGGCTAATGCAGAAGTCTGTTTTGTGCTTCTAAAGAGACCCAGAACAGGGGCTTTATCTTCCTAATGAAAATGTTAAATGACTCATAAGTGGACCTAATAGGTTGTCATTTGGATTCCATTGGTTTATGATCCCGGAGGATCCTAACAAGTGCTAGATTCAAGTTTACCCAAAGAAAGAGGGATTTGTTGAGAATGTGGATAATGCAAATTAGGATTAAAAGAGATGGAGTAGGAGGTGTTTTTCTTGCATCAGGAAGCACAAAGTATTTTCCAGAACTTTTAGAGCATTCTTTAGATACAGTGTATAAAAGTTAATTGCCAAACATTTTAATACCTGCTGAGGCAAAATCTACATAAGGTAATACTGCATTAGGCTAAATCCAATTGCCAAAACTATTGGAAATAATTAGGCTAGACTTTTATTTAAGTCTTTACTGATATACCTTCAGATGATTTGGATAGTTCAATACATTTGGAATAAGTGGGAAAGAGGCTTGAATTTTAAAAAAATCATGACATTTTAAGCTTCAAAGGGGGAAAAAAGTCATCCAACGCTTTCTTCAACGAGCATTCCCTATTGCTTCATTTTTGGAGGTGATCAGACCAAAGGGCCTGCTGTTCAACTGGGAGATTTCTCTGTGGGGGACTGCTGTTCAGTGAATTTCTAGAATGCCCTGGAGAAGGTATTATGCATGCTTATTTGTGTATTTCCATCTTGATCCCAGGCAAGTTTTTGTTTTTGCTTGATTTCTGGGGTTTGGTGTTGTTTTGTTTTGTTTTTATTATAAAATCATGAGATAAAGTTTAGACTATCTTACAGAATCCTAGATTAAAGGGTCTAGGGAAGGAGTTTGGATATTGATAGAAATTATCCCTACTTTATGAAACTGAAAATACAGAGGGAGAAAGGCCCCTTTCCTCCCCTTTGGGAGGAAAGTGAACCTCCCAAACACCATTCATAGAGGGAGCTGCTGTTTCAATATGGTCCAGGATTCTGAATTTTAGAACCAGATAGATGTGTCTCTGTTTAGTTCGTGATGACATGCACACACAAAATATTCTAATAAATGAAAGCCCTAGTAATGGCTCCTCAGAGGAAAAAAAGAATTTAAACTTTCAGAACTAGGTATTGGGACAAGGGTATAGGGAGTCTTTATTCAATTTACTGAAATGAGTCTATTACTGAAGCTCTTCTGTCAGGAGCCTTACATACCCCTTTACAAAGAAGTACATATGTGTTCCTCCTATCACTTTTGGATGAGTGACTATTGGGGTACAATTCCTTGCTTTACATTACTTTTTATGCCCTATGCAGGCAAGAAGAGAGAGACAGAAAGTTGTTCCAAAGCTAAATGAGAACTTGATAACATAGAACCACTTGTACAGCTTCTTGTATTAGATAAGGTTGAAGGAGATGGAAAGAAATTAGTTATGAACTGAAGAGAGCCCATGCAAATGGAAGGGATTTTTAAGACTGATATAGGATTTTCTCATCTAGGGTTATTAAAGCTCTGAAATTATCAGTAGATCCAACTAGAATCAATAAATGATTGCTCTCCAATACGTTACCACAAACTGAACTGCAGCTGATAGATGGCATTCTCCTTTGCTGTGAGAATAGGACATATCACAGAGCTTACTCAGATATATGTTATCACATTCATTTTAAAAATGGGAGTAGAGATAGAATTTAGTTAGATAAAGCGGACAATTTTACTTTTTGTCAGAGGTTTGCTTAAGAAATTATGCAGTTTTTAATAGTTAAAGGGTTTTGACTCTATTCTTTAACAGAAAGTGACTCAGTATAAGATTTTAATAAACTTCACCTTTATTATTGATTACTGAGACTTGAACATAAAGTCAAACTTCATAGCACCAGCATCTATCTGTTACATGTCTGACCTTCTGGTAGGTAGGACAGCTGGATTATTTGGGGTCATCCTAGAGGCTCCACTTTCAGGCCATGCACCCCACTGGAGTGCACATGAACAAATGGGGCCATGTCTCATGACCCAAAGCCAGCTAGTGTCACATCCTCAACCTTATCCCACTTTGTGAAATGCCAGAGAGGCACACACTACAGACTTCTACTGTAAAAACTGGAAGAAAACTCAGCACTTACAAGTTAACAAACCAGAAGGGGGTACCTGAAGAAGCCATACTTCAGCATTTTTAAAGACAAGAGTAAACAATGTTTTCCATCCCATTTTTAAGAGCTCAGCCCATGCTCAAACAACATTTCAGAGAAGTTTCTTCTGGTCAGTCCAATCTCTATTTCTGTTTTGCTCCTATTTTCTCCACTTCCCAATTAACACCTTATTTAAAATATCATATTCTAATGTTCTATTACTTGTTAGCACCACATATTTAGCATCTGATTAAAAACAGAATACTGTATAGCATCTTGTTTCACGATGATGATCAATACAGTGAACTCTTTGAGGGGTCGTTGGTACATGGAAGTCATATACATCTTTATGATCTAGTTCAGCAGTGGGCATGGAGGAGAAATTCAACATTTATAGACTTGATGTGTTGAAGCTGGCCTACATTCTGCATCCGGCCAAAAAGAGGATGCCCCTTTCTGACAGGAAAATCATTGAGAAATGTCTTAAATAAACAGAATCTGTTTGTGATCAATCCTCTTGCATAACAAATGCTTTTCTAGGTAAGCTACAAGAAATGAGAAAACTTTAGGTTAGGCTAATTTGCCAGTGGTCTGGCATCCCCAATAGGTGCTGTACCAGAACCTGTTTGAATTATTTTTGCAAAAATGCAAAAAGTAAAACACAATTGCACTTATGCATAAAGGAAAGCAACCTCAAGGGAACGGTCACCCTGGCTTCTACTGCAAAGAGCTGGGGAAAGTGGTCAAGTGAGACTAAACGACTCTGTAGTCACCAAAGTGCCCTTCTCTGCAGAGAGACCCTGAACTCTGGGAGTATGAGAAAGAATGCAGTATGTTCATGTCTGTCCACTTGTGGTGGATTTTGGATATCTATATATCAAACAGTTCAAGTATGTATCACAACATGGGGAACACAGTTCCAGAGATATCTGTGACTTAAATTAGAAGAGGAAAGTCCCTAAGTATTTTCCAAATTATTCTCTTAGAACTGAGTTTCCAGCTCACTGTCCAAGCTCAGGGCTGGTCAGCAAACACACTTGTTTTGGTTCATGCTGGCTTTCACTGGCCAGCTTACAACATGGTTGTCATGGTCCTGCAATCAGTGGGGGCAACTCCACCTGCAACATCTCCCCTTCAGCAAAAATAACCACTTTCTTATCTGTTTTCACTACTGGGTGCCTACTGTATTGTTACCTAATACTTCACCTGTCCAGGTCTTATTTCCTTATCAACACTCAGAGAGCTCAGTTCTCTGCAAAGAACATGGGATTGGGAAGCAGATAGACCTGTTGGAATTGAGTTCAGTACATTGAACAAGTCGCAATTCCTGCACCTCAATTCTCTGATCTGTGTCATAGTATCATGAGTTGCATGCATAAGAAGTAAACGAGGCACAACCCTCTTAGATAGCCTCATCCACCAGAGGGCAGTCAGCAGAAGCAAGGAGAATTACATTCCTGCAGTCTGTGGAAGGAAAAC